AGCGGGCCAGCCAGTCGGCGAGGGACTCCCTCGCTCTGCCTAGGAAACTAGATCTGAGCGGCCGCTGGAAGCCGGGGTGTTTTGGGGTGCTTGGGGAGCAGAGGAGGCTTCAGGACCCCGTCCAAAGTTTTTACTGGGGGTGGAGGGGGCTGAGAGTGCCCTGATCCCCTTTAAAAGTGCAGTCCGGGGCCACATCAGAGAAGCCGGGCATATTCTCTACCTTTAGGGACCCTGCCTGCACAGGCACCACATTCTGCGCAGTCAGGAGCTGCTTTGGGGGACGGCTGCATGGAACCAGCAGTCATTTTTGAAACGCTGACTTTTGCTCTCTGAACCAAACCAAAACAAAACCCCAAACCAGTTTTGTTCTCTGTAAAGTTGCTGAGAGCTCTCTGCCAAGGAATGCAACCTTGACAGAATGCTCTCAGCTACTCTGCTGAACTCTCACTCAATCCTTAAGAGGAAGAACTTTAAGAAAGAGATTCTAACCACTGGCCCAGGACCACGCTAACCTGTTGCCGGATAGAAAATACCTGTCAAAATTAAGGGCCCTCGATGCGGAGCCAGGCTCTCTTTATGGTCAGGGACGCAGAGCCCTCGGCATGCCCACAAGCCCATGCACGCAGGGTACACAGATGTGTTAATACTGTGTTACTTTCATGGTAATGCCAGGCTAAAGAACGGAGTCTCTTGCCAAGTCCATTTGAAAGGAATGCCATTGTTTGGTTTGGTAGAGCATATGGCCACTGAAGTATGTGCAGGGACGCCCAGCATTTCTGTTTAAAAGTTTGCCGCAGCAGTATAAACAATTAAGGCAACACTCAGAATTTCCAATCCTGAAAACCTGTTGACTCAGATGTTCTATTTGCAAGAAAATCATGAAAGACCTGGGCATCTCTTGGGGGAGCAGAGAGCCTGCCGACTTCATGGCTTCCCTTAGTAGAACCCTGGGGGCTCCATAAGCTTGGGGGTGGGGGGTGAGCGCCTTTCCTTCAGAGGAGCTCCAACTTT